TTGAAAATGTTGTCAAGATCGGATATGAAACACATAAGTTAGTAAAGAGAACGTGTTTAGCGGGTTTGAGGTAGCTAACACAAAACGCAAGAATTTTTGTATATGTATACACATTCATGCGCGTCTTTGCTTAATTATATGTATTCTCTGCTGTGTATATGTGCTGCTGTATCAATTAATTTTTTTCGTCAGCAATTAATTGTTGCTTTGGCTGTTCAGTAGAGGTGGTGGCAAGTAGTGTGATCTGTCACGAATTCGAGTCGCATTGGGGGATTCTTTTTTTATACACTTTTTTTATTACTACCAATACAAACAAACTCATAGCGTGAGCTGCAATTGGCGTTGCCAGAAGAGGGTACAGGGTATACCATAGTCGAGAACTCCCGACTAGAGCCTCTCTCATAATTATATTCGTTCGATATGAAATCTGTTCGTTTGGTAACATCTATTTGCTAGCGACCTTCATTATTTGAATATTCATTGTGATGAATTGCGTGGTGGTATTAGTCAGAGAATACAAGTATCATCATGGGCACGTTTTGCGGGTTATATTTAACCCATACGGTAATCGCGAGAAGCGATATGGACCTCTGCTTGCGATAACTTAACTTATTTTTCTTAATTTTTTCTCTAGTTCTATCTTGCGAAATTCAGACGTCAACCCAGTCATGAAAAGTTTTTGGCTTGATCTAATAGCCTCTGTCCACTGTACACATTTCTGACACATTTCAGAAAATGTCACATTTTTGACAAATATGTGAAATGCGCCCTGTGCGTTTCCCCATAAGAAAACACATTTCGTAAACATAAACAGCTGGTATATAAAAGAAGGCAAGCGGCAATTTTAAATAAGAAATAGCTAAAATGGAGCCCTTACTTCGATAGCGCAATTTTTGAGTTTTGGAAGATGAACTTTACGGCGCTTATGTAAACTAAAGAAACTCGATTAGCTGTTTATTTAAAGAAGCGGTACTTTTGTCATTGACATGTTACCGACAACCGGTGGAACACCAATATGTGAAATTTTAAAATGTGACATTTCTTAAAACAGTGGCTAATACTAATCAAAAATATAGTCAAGTCTTGAAAGTGGGACTGCGCCGTTAATAACTTTCTTTAAATTTATCACTAAACATCTACAAGTCGACATCTTTTTTTTGAAATGTCTGAGAGTGGCTACGCGGGAAACAAGAGAAGTGGTCTGTTGTATTCTGATAATAAATTTGATATATATCAATGATGATAAAATCATCGTTAATTAGTTTTTTGACTTGTTTGTCAATTTCTGACTTCTCGGACAGCTTTTCTTTTATTTATTATAAAAAATCTTAAATTTTGTTTGTAATAAATGTTACTGGGAATTGGTGATGATTCTAATCCAAGTATGTCACTAAATTCTCTGCATAGTTTGATTCGATTTTTTCTGAATGTCACTTTTGTCTTTATACATATATATATCATCAGATGTATCTATTGTAAGGTGGATTTCATAACCGCATACGGGTCGAGCCGAATATTTTTTTTCACGAGAATGTGCTGCAGCCCCGCTCCCGCCCAACTGACCAAGGGGCGGAGTCGTGTTACGTACGACACGAGTCGTGAAGTACAAAAGCGAATACAAACCTCGATTATAAGCAATGACTATTTACTTGCTAAATAGTTAAGAATAGACTCTATAAGAGAAAGAGAAGACTTCGAGCAGAATACTCTTTTATACTTGTTATAATCATTACAGAATACCCTGAACGGTTCATGCAATGCATAGTTTGTAGTACAACATTTCAGCAATAAAGGTGAAGGTGAAGGTGTTAGTTTAGAGGGATAGAGCAGTTTAATTGCCTAGTTAACCCAGAAGAGTCGAGTTCACACGTTATTAACTTTTGAATAAATATTACACCAAGCATGGTTTGGCGACCTTTTAAAGAAGGAAATCACCAGATGTCTACTGTAGAAAACCACAAAGGGCAAACTACAACAAGGAAGAGGTTCTAGTCGTGAGCTCCCGACTAGGGAATACCCTGAACCCTCTTATTCCAACACCAAATAAATTAAAAAAAAAAGGTTCCTTGGCAGGGTTCGAACTCGCAACTGACCACATTACTTGCTGTCGACTCTACTCAACAGCCACACCAGCCAAAAAAAAATATTATCCCCGTTAGGGCTCGAACTCGCGCCAGACTTCCTATGTCTCTACTCAGCAGCCACACCAATAATTAAGTCCTTATGATAAAACGGAACTAAAATAGCATTACAGAAAAAAGTCGCAATTACCATGCTGTTAGAATGTGAAGCAGACGCGCATGAATGCGTGTGTGTACATGTATACAGAAATTCTTAAAGCTGCTGCCCCATTCAAATGCGCAGTTGCATATAACTTTGGTTTTTTCTTAACCGATCTTTATAATATTTTTTACAGTATATCTTACTGTATTCTCAAAAGTCAATTTCATTAAAATTGTGGCTTAAATTGGTGCGCAATACAAGATGGGTTATTAACTTGATTTATAACTCTTTGTTGAGAGCGGGGAGGTGGCGATAGGTATAAAATGAAAGATATTTGACATATATACAATATTCTAGAAGCAACATATCATGTTTGTTAGCTCTAGCTCTTATTATTTACACAATTGGCTCAAAAAACAGGATATCGATATCTATCTTATATCGATTGCTTGAAAACGGAGTAAGTTATCGATTATCGGAAACAAACTCGATCTACGCAGGCACTAGGAGCACCTACATCTAAAATTTCAAGTCAACTCTTGTATTCATACATACGGACAGACAGACAGATGGACATGGCTAGATCAACTCGGCTATTGGTGCTGATCAAGAATATATATACTTCATGGGGTCGGGGATGCTTCCTTCTACCTGTTACATACATTTGGATTTTGCACAATTACAATATACCCTTATACCCATTTTTAATGGTTTCAGGGTATAAAAACTGTTTCCATACAAGTTCAACTCTGTTATGTTGAATAGAATATTGTGGCTACCTGATACATGAGAAATACCTTGAATTTTAAATAGCTTAGATTGAACAGGTTGACTTGAAATCAGGACCACATGATGCCATATCTTTATGCAAGCTACATATCAAATCATCAACGCCTATCAATAATGGAAACTGCTTAGAGTAGTGGGATAGGATGGCTACCTTGAGGAAACCCGGAAGTCATGTGAATTCACTTGGTAAACGAATTTCTAAAAATAACGCTTTGGGTTCCTTTACACAAACATTCTGAGATGTAGTTCAGAGGATTGACTGGGGAAGCCGAGAACGAATACTCTCTGAAGCAGTGATGAACTGCGTCAAAAGCATTGTCAAAATCAGTATACATAACGTCAGTCTGCATTCTACTATTACAGCCATCAATTACTAGCGAAGTAAGCTCAAAAAGGATAGTGATTTTTTATAGATGATAGATGATGTTAAGATCCTCTGAAAAGTTTAAGGTATAGCATATAATTTGGAAATGTCCCAATACTTTTCGACATCGGACTTACTCCGTTTCTTATGGAGAGGGATAATAAGCGATTCCTTCCAAATGGTCAAAAAAATTGAAGTGCTTTCAGAAAAAGTGCCAAGATTTGTGAACAAGCATTGCCGCACATCACCTAAGCATAAATGCGGAGACAATATTAGCGGCCGGTGAGTATACCGGCGATTGTTTTAAGGTCGCTTAAAAGCGGACTTTCCGCTATAATTGGATTAAAGGTGCAGTTTGTCCTCTGTAACTGATAAGGGTAAGGGTGATAATTACGAATAGATGGCTGGAAAAAGATTACGAATAGATCGATGCCCGGACAAGTATTCGCGCTTTAGCCCTTAAAAATTGCATAGAATTATTTGCAAACTAAAGACGAAGAGGGCGATGGAAATCCTTATAGCATATGGAATTATGCGTAGAAAGTTTGATCTGACAAATGCGTAACGGGAGAGATCAGAGTGATTTTTTAACTTTCTTTGCACCTCGACGCCTCATTTTTTTTTTTTAATGGTTTCCTTGAGAACCATGAATGCCTATCAGACCTCGCTTTGTGATTTCAAATATTAAAGAGCAAGGTGTCGTACTATAGTTAAATGGCAACATCAATGTCTGCACAATTGTACTGTTGAGACCAATCAATGGTCACTAAGCTTATGAATATCAGCCTTACGAAACAAACGGGCACTGTCAGCTTATTCCGATTCCTTGCACTCGACCTGGTAGATCAAATATCAAATGGGTCTTCAGGTAGTGTAAGCGACAACACTGTCGAACGAATCCAACATACAGATAAAATCAAGAGCCTAGAGAATATTTATGTAGACTACTAATAAACTCAAGTAATGAACAGGGCAACAGATGGGATGTATAGCTCGGCGATTACCAATCCACATCAGGTAGATTAAAGTCGCCAAAAACGAGGTTCTTAACAGAATGTAGGGAGGAGATCGATTTTATAGCGTTAAGATAGCTTGCAACTCTTACAGCTACCAAGATTTCCAAGATGGGAACAACAACCGTGAGTACTCCTCTTCCGAGACGGAAAGTTCGATCGCATCTGAAAGAGTTATATTTGGAAGTAAATATTGAGAAATCTGAGATGTCCGTTTTTTTTTAGTAACTGCCTCGATCATATTATTGAACGTGCCGGCTTGCACGATAAAACTTATCTAACGAACAGCTTTGTGTCATTTTGTATTTTGTAGTCCTATGCTTAATCCGTCGCTCAAGTTAACTCATTCTAAAACCTTGGTCAGCCGTTGCTTTTCTGCTGGAGGTTGAGAAGCTTTGTTATGACTATGAAATCTTTAAGGTTGACTGCACCATAGAATTAGCTTTAATGTAATGTAATTTATTAATTATTATTTCCATAAAGCAAACTAGAGCGTAGTGCGAGCTGCATTTGGTGTTGGTATATAAAGATTCGGCTTATCAGGCACTCCCGATTAGACTACCCTTACATGTTATGATAATAATAATCAGAAAATAAAACTTATTTTACAGGAAATACCATTGGTTCACAATATTTCCCAAGGAGTTGTTATAAGTAACTATTCATTGGTTTTGCAAGGCGTAACAAGGGATACGGCTGGCAATTATACTTGTGTCGGCTTTAATGCTGAGGGGGAAGGTATCAGTGTACCCTTCCCTTTGAATATACTGTGTAAGTTTCTTAAAATATTTTTTTAAAGATACAAATTAATAACACATACAATATATATTTCCTAAATACTTCTATATACATACATTAGCTAAATATTACTCTTAAGCTATATACATAACCTTCTTGTATTTCTGGTAGGCGTTATTTTCTTCCATTTACATATTTGACTTTTGTGAAAAAATATAACTCGCAGAATGAAGCATCTGCGATCTCATTAAGTGTTTATATTTTGGGTCAGCATCAATTTCAGAGTCGACACAGCCATGCCCGTCAGTGTGTCACATCGACCTCTGAGCTAGAAACTTAATATTTTGAACGTATGTATGTCCCCCTATTACCCTCCCAGAACGAATTTGTTTGAAAGCATCGACAGCTTGCCTTATTATAAAATCAAAGAGGAAATACTGTTTTAAATACCTTGAACCCATTGAAAATGGGCTAAACTGATATTATGTTTTTTGTGCAAATTTATTTATAGGCATAAGGAAGCATCCCCGACCCCATAAGGTATATATATTCTTAAACATTCTTAATCAGCATCAAAGTCGATCTAGCCCTGCCCGTCTGTCCTTCCGTCCGACCGCCCGTCCGTCCACCCGTTTATATATTCGAAAGGATATCAGCACCTATAAGAGCTAGAGATTTGAAATTTTAGTGTAGGTCCTTCTAATTCCCCGCAGCACTAGTTTGCTTCCGATAATCGATAACTTATTTCGTTTCCAATCAATCAGCCAATCAACCATTGCTCACAATTACCTTTACACAATTACCCTTCAGCCTCCGACTGCAATTCAGCAGCTTACTACTCCTTTGTTACTGTGATGACTGATGAATATACAAGTTCTGTTCCGCAATGTGAGACATCAGTGCGAGAATATTTTTCGTCGAGACATATTTTTTATTCTTGCTTCTCATCGGATGATGTTAAAGCCTTTTGGCAGGCCAATATTTTCCCAGGCTTAACGGTGAAAAATTTTAAGTTTGGCTATGAGGGGCATATTTCATCCTTTGACTTGACTTTGCTTATCAGAATGTTAGAGGTCTTAAGTCTACTATTGTCCTTACCAAGATTATCTTGCCGCTAATTTTCATATTATCGCTTTTGGGTTAAGACGGACAAAATTCAAAATATAGCCCCTTACATGCTATTACGGCTATGACACAAAGATGTTCGTTAGATAAGTTATACCGTGCAAGCCGGCACCTTCAATAATATGAACGAGGAAGTTACAAAAAAAAAAAGCGGACACCGCAGATTCGTCAATATTTTTTTTTTTTAATTCAACTTATAGATGGGATCGAGCTTCCCGTATCGAAGGAGGAGTACTCATCGCTGTCTGGTCTGCTCTTTCCTCAGAACTCATTGAATGGCCCAGCTAGGAGATCGAGTTAATAGCTGTAAGATTTGTATTTTGAATTTTCAGTGCCTTTATTTTATGATCCTTTATTTCCAAACTATCTAACAAGTCTATTTGCCTAACCCATCTTAACGATCTAAAATCGATCTTCTCCCTACTTTCTGATTTCCCTGATGTTAATTGGTAATCGCCGATGAATACAGCACATCTGTTTTCCTGTTCGTTAACTGAGTTTATTGATAGTCTACATACATTTTCTTTAGGCATGTTAATCGGGTGCGGTGAAAATATATCTCTTGATTTTATCTGCGTGTTGGATTCGTTCGACCATGTTGTCGCTTACACTTCCTGAAGACCCTTTTGATATTTGACAAACCAGCCCGACTGCCTATCAAGGAATTTGAATAAGCTGACAGTGTCCGTTTGTTTCGTAAGGCTGATATTCATAAAGTGACCATTGATCGGCCTCAACAGTACAATTGTGCAGACATTGATGTTGCACTTCAACTTTAGTATGACACCTTTTATTTGCTCTTGATATCTATATCCCTCTTAGTCACCCAGCAAGGTCTGATAGGCATCCATGGTTCTCAAAGAAACTAACGAAAAAAAAAAGAAATGGGAGTCGAGGTGTTCTTATGATTTAAGGAAATCACTCTGATCCCTCCCGTTACGCAATTTCCCGATTAAGCTTTTCCAATCATAGTTCCATATGCTAGTTTGCACATCATACTTAGCAATTTTTAAATTTTGTAAACGCTTATAGAGGTTAAACTGCCTGCCTTCAGCAAAGCTGGTCGATTGTGCTTTGCGTCGCTTCCTTTCCGAATTACATTAAGCGAAAAAGTTTTGAACTTACGATCGACGCAAAGTGCTTGTGCTTTATCCATGATATGCTTGCCTTATTTAAATGATATATTACCTTAGGTACTAACGATTAATTTTACAGGAAAATTGAAGAATTAAATAATTTTTACACAATGCGCTTCTTGTGCAATAACTATGTTAAGGAAAAATCACACATGGATTGGTTCACTTTTGGTTTTGGATAGTGTATGCTCGAATGCCAATGGCCTGCAAGCACCTTTGGATGTAAGCGTGAATTATGCATACATAAGTACATAAAAATATAAATGTATATATGTGTTGTTTTTCACTGCTCTGGCTTTAGCTAGTAAGAAATTAATTTTGTTAGTTTTCTAGCACTGATCATGATCCCAATGTTTTGTTGACATATAAATGCATGTTTTGTGCTGATGTTGGCTCCGTATAAAATATGTATGTTTAGATCAATGCAAAAATATACATATATAATTTCTTTACAGCACAATAAGATCTACTGTTGAAAATTTCATCATATTGTAAGCAAAATTATATATCAGTAGTCTCAGTTTGGATATGAATAAAGCGAAGCGTATCGCTCCTCTGTATAGATCACTCAACGGCATTTGTAAATGCAAATATGCGAAAGCAATAATAATTCGCAGCAACAAAACAACAGCAACAAAAAATAGAAAACAAGTAAGAGGATTTAGTCGGGAGCTCCCAATTAAATTTAAAACGAGAAAGAAAGGCTGTCTTCGGCACTCCGAAGATCTAATACCCTTGCAGACCCAACCTTTTCATAATGCTTATAGTGCTTTGCCCGTATCTAAGAAGCACAGGAAAAATAGTTAATGCCACGTTTGGGCAAGATATCTTGATAAAAAAAAAGGTTTTTAATCAAAAACCTAGTTTTCGACCGATCGTTCCTAAGGCAGATGTATGATATAGTAGTCCGATGTAAATAAGATCTTAAAAAAATGAAGGGAGCATAGTTAAATCTTTAAATGCCGTGTTTAATTAAAATATCTCGAATGACAAAAAGTTTTCCATACAACAACTTAATTTTCGACCGATCGTTTCTATGGCAGCTATCTGATGTAGTGGTCCGATCCAGTTGGTTTTGACATATGTGCTGTGTGCAAAAGAAAGAGGGGCTTTTGCAAAGTTTCGCATAGAAACAGACAGGCGGACATGGCTATATCGACTTGGCTGTTGATGCTGATGAAGAATATATATACTTTATGGGGTCGGAGATGTCTCCTTCTATGCGTTACACATTTCACCACGAAATTATAATACCCTCTGCAAGAGTATAAAAAAAATTTCCCGACTAGGGGATACCCTGAACCCTCTTCTTCCAACAGCAAATTCATATACATATATATATTCTACTTTAGAAGCTATATGTCAAGTTTGGGGACTCTACCTCTTATTATTTACCAAAATTGCCCAAAAAACAGGATATCGATATCGATTTCGCTTGGAAACGGAATAAGTTTTCGATTATCGGTAACAAACTCGATCTGCGTAGGAGCACCGGCACTAGGAGCACCTAATCTCTAGCTCTTATAGATTCTGAGATCTTTACGTTCATACATACGGACGGACGGACAGACAGACGGACATGGCTAGATCGACTGGGCTATTGATGCTTCTTCTGACTGTTACATACGTTTGTATTTTGCACAAATAAAATTAACCCATTTACCCATTTTTAATGGATTCGGGGTATAAAAAGCGTAACCAGCCTGTCACCCTTCCAGTCCCTTTAATACAGGGTACTATTTCTGCTCCAAAAAAATCAACTTCGTCTTCTGACCAAATCTCTATTCATTATCAGAATGTCAGAGGTCTAATTTCCAAACTTAAACATTTTTTATGGCCTGCTTTTCGGTTTCGGATAGAATCGCATTTTCAGAAACATAAATTCAACCATATCTGATTTTGAGGTGTTTTCGAACATTATGGTCATAATTCACTGCCGAAATTATCTAGTACCCTCAAATCAGCATGATTTTAATGATTGCATGCTAGACATGTCGTTGTTTCAAATGAATTAATTTTCTAATTATTTGAATAGAACTCTTGATCTCGTACTTATTGACTACTACATTTTTGCTAATGTCTCCAGGTCGCTTCCTTCCTGAGGATGCATATCATCCTACTTTAGAGATTGCAATGTTCAATTGTAATACTCTCATTTCGTGCTCATCAGGTAATAAGCTCCGCCGTTGCTCTCGCAAAGGGAATGATTCATTGCTAAATCAGCTTACTTATGCAACCGATTGGTCCTTATTAAATGACTCGGTTGATTTGAATACTGCCATTCATTTTTTTTATAACACCCTAAACTCCCTCTCAGATATGTATATTCCCAAGTTAATTGCTTCGACTACTTTCTCAAAACCACCCTAGCTTACTCCCAGATTGTCACGTCTACAAAATTAAAAATCTAAATATTTTAAGAAGTTTACAAAGTCTGTTTCGTGTTCAATCTTGGCTAATTATTCCATAGTCCTGTCGAACTTCAATTGTTTCTAATCTCTTAGAGCTATGTGACTTATCTTACTTACAGTTTTATAATTTTGTAAGCGTGAAGTGTACATTTTCAAGTTTGCCACGTTCTTTTATGCTAGGGATGGATAAAGCTAGCAATGACTCTGATTCTGCTAACCTTGTTGCTTATTTTTTCCAATCAACTTACTCTTCAGTCTATCCTAATACTAATTCATACCCTTATACTATTTCTTCCGCTAGTTCTATACCTCCTCCCATTATTTCACACTCCTCTCTAGTATAAGCTATAAGCTCTTTAAA